TTTGAATTTGAAAGTGGCTGATCTTGATTTAACAAAACCGTGCTGATGTATAGTAAGTAATATTTTTTTTCAGGTGCCAAACTAGATGTTTGGTGAATTCTTTATAACCGAGTTCAAAAAAAGGAGGAGGTTCTCAATTCGACTGTATGTTCTTTTTTTTTCTTTTTTTTGTATGTATGTTACGCGATAACTCCGGTATTTGTGAACCGATTTTCATGATTCTTTTTTTGTTGGAAAGAGGGTACTATGGAGGCATAGTACTTCCATGTAATTTTGAAGAAAATCATCCACCTCTAAGGGTGGCTGTTCACGCATAAAGATTCATTTTTTTACTGCCTCTGTGGCCGAACGGTTACCATGCCGGACTGCCACGCAGAGGTCCCAGGGTCGATTCCCGGGCCGGGAGAAATATTTATATGGCCTACATTTATTTCTCTCGTGAGTTTGGGTGTAATTTCTATGTGTGTGTCCATAGCAACCGCGACACAGGGTTTCCCTAGTGCGGGGTTATGTTGAGTGTGTGCGTTATTATTTTTATAAATAGCGCCCAAATTTTATTATAAGGAGCATTGACTTACATAAGGAGCAATTATTTTAATGGTTGATTTTGCTATTCTCCAATTCAATGCATTTTTCTCTCTCAATGTACTTTTTAGTGAGAACCGATTTTTATTATCTCCTGTGTCAAGTCCCGTATAGTGGCGAACTAGGGGACGAATCCGGGTTTGCGCACTTTCCGGTAACCGATTTCAATAAAACGGTAATTTTATGTAATCCCACGTACTTTTGAGGTCGGTTTTTTTAGTACTCTGTACTGAGATTATCAAAATACCGTAAGAATAGACACCAATAGGGACGGTAATTTGAAATTAATTGACGTAAGCCTGATTTATATTATTGGACAAATAACGCCACTTTCCATGGAACACAAAAAATTCTGTCATCAAACGGTACACTGCGTCTTGTCTTCGGGAACTTTACTCTTTTATTATTTTCCATTCAATTAAATATTCAC